CTCATCGACTTAGATTAAAAGTTGGTGTTCCCGTAATGTTGTTGAGAAACATTGATCAAGCAAATGGTTTATGTAACGGAACAAGATTGCAAGTGAATGATTTGGGAAAAAATGTCATATCGACTACTCGTAATTCTTTGGAAAAAATATTGGAGACAAAATCTTTATACCAAGAATGAATTTGATTCCTTCGATCCTGGATTTCCTTTCAAGTTTCAAAGGAGACAATTTCCATTATCATTGTGTTTTGCAATGACAATCAATAAGAGTCAAGGCCAATCACTCTCTAAAGTTGGACTTTATCTTCAGCGTCCGAGTATTCACCCATGGTCAGTTCTATGTGGCAATTTCTAGAGTCAAAACAAAGAAAGGACTGAAAATGCTTATATTGGATGAAGAAGGAAATGTAACATCATGTACTAAAAATGTAGTATACAAAGAAATCTTTGAAAACCTTTAAACATGTGCAGGTACACTATTATACGAAAAACTACATGTTTACTTCATTTATTTGTTATAATTTTTAATTATTTACTCTATGAAAATGTAGATTTATGATGTTTATTATTGCTTCAAAATTATGCTTATTTAATGATCATAAAATTGTACAATTGGTAAGTTTTATTCACAATCATATAACTATTTTACAAATTATATATTTTGTCATTATTTATTCTTTTTCTTTCTTTATTGTTTAATTGTGTAATATGTATTATGAAAAATAAAATTACAATATTTTTTACTAGATTTATCTTTTTTATGCAATATATCAAATTTATAAATTATTATACTAATTTATTTTGATTTGTTATTATTGCATATTATTCAAATGTTACATTATATTATAATCATTATGTTATTATAGAAGATATTTTTTAAATTTTGTATGATATAATTTTATCGATTATATTTTGTATTTATTGTAAGTTTTTTTTATTTTATACAATTTTTTTAACATAATTTTTTCATTTAACATTTTTCAAAAATCCCGTGCGTTGCACGGGTTATGGTACTAGTAAACATACATTTTAAAGGAAAACTTAGTAAAAAATCACTATCAAGAAGTATTATTTCATAAAAAATATTAAGTTTTAAAAAGAAATTAAATATGAGAAACACAATTTTTCAATTTTATATTGAGGGGAAAGTAATTTAATTTTATCAAACTTTTCCCTAAAAATTATTATCATAATTTTATAATAAACATATTATATATAAATTTTTCCCTAAACAATTAAATATTATTAGGTTTTAAATATTTAAAATTTTATCACAAAATATATAGATTTTGTAAAAAATACGAGTCAATTTTGTTTTTCTTTAATAAAATATATTTTTTGAATTAAAATAGTTTACTTCGTATTTTTTTTAAAATATTATCGATAATTAATTTTCTCAAATAATGATATTACATGACCAATTGTTTATATAGTAATGTTTCCCTTGATAATTGGTGTAGAATAATTTAAGATATCGAACAAAAATGATATTTTATTAAAATGCACATAAGATTTCTAAAATAACAACGTTTTGAATAATAATAATAATAATAATATTATTATTATTATTATTATTATTATATTTTTTATGACATAATATGAATTATATAGTATGATAATTCAATTTAAAATAAAATGAAAAACTAGACGAAGAAGTTCTTAATTAAATAAATACTATACATAAAAAAATAACAAACTAAACAATATTAATTTGATTAACTTTTTTAATTCGATTGAAACTTATAAAAAAATACAGTAAAATGCATACCTCTTATTAGTTTAATTATAGATTGGGATTTCTATGTAATAATAAGTTCGTACGTAGTACTTTTTTTATTGGAAAAAAATGTACCAAAATTTTGTATAATTAAATTATGAATACCAAAGAATTACGTTAGAGAAAAAAAAACTGAAACTTGGTATTTTTCTCATATTACAAATCAATATCATAATGAAAGAAGATAAAAATAGAGGATGTGAAAATGACGAAGATGGGGACTTTTAGAAATTTATAAGAAAGACAAATGGATAAAATAATACATATTTTTTATACAGTTTTTTTGTCAATAATAAAAAGTTTACAGTATCATTTTATTAACAAATATGAAAAATATAAAGAAAACTATAAATTATACATACACAAACAAATATGTTAAAATAAGAAAAAAAATGGTATCTTATAATAAAACCTAAAGAAGAGAGAATAAGAATGAAGAATATCATGAAGGCTTTTACAAATTTATCAGAGACAAAAATCAATAAAAAAACATATACACCTCTAATGAATCAATGATAATAACTACCAAAAAAACTATAGTGATTCATAAATATAAATATTGATAAAAGACAAAAAAAAAAACATTTTGTTTTTTAAATTGATTGTAACCAAATGTCCTTCCCTTTAACTATACAAAAGATTTAGTTTCTACAAAATAAATAAAAAATAATAATCAGTTTGGAACATTTTTTTACACAAAACAATGTACAATATTGCCTTGGTTCAACCACCCTAATGCAAAACATTATGCTATCAACATGTTTCCCATTTTTAAACTATGCAAATATAATACAATTTTAAGTCTTTCTTCAGTTGTCAGGAAGAATGAAAAGGAATTTCATATCCCATATAAAATTAAATATTTACCCAGAATCAATTTAAATATAATAATAATATAATTTTAATTTTTATGTTTATTAGTTGTATATTATTAAATCAAATTGTAAATAAATTGTAAAAAATAAATTATGTAAAAATTAATGGATAAAAAAGAAGAAAGGGAAAAAATCATTCAATTGAAATGAAATAGAATAAAAAGAGGGAATATGAGATCAAATTATAAATGTCCATGTATTTTATTTAAAGGAAACAAATCAAAATATAACTTTTCTATATATTACATATTTATTCCTAAAATTTATTTTATTTTATTCTCGAACTTTGCATTAACAATTATATTCATGTTTAAAAAATATGTAATTTTCTAATATTATATATATATATATATATATTAAAATATAAATTAATAAGTAAAGGTAATATCTATAATTAAATATAAAATAATTTTTTATAATTATTATTCTGGTGTTATTAGAGAAAAAAATAAAAACATTATAATTTAAATAAATTAATTATTATGATTTATATATATATGTATTAACAAAATAAAAAAAATATTATAAAAAATTTAATTATGAAAAATATAGACAATAAGCGTTTTAAGTCACATATTTTCACTAATATTATTAGATAAAGAAAAAACTATCATGGCTCCCACACGTATTTAATTCATTATTTTATTATTATTTTATTTTTTCTTCAACCATGTCTCCAGCCAACCCTAACCATAGCTAAGTTGTCTCCATGTTCTAGTTTGGAAAACATAAAATAGGACAAATTTTTAATAAATTTTATTTATTTTTAAATATTTTTTGGTTTTCAAAACTTAAAAACTTGTAAATAGATAACCAAACAGCCCATTAAATTTTGTCAAATATATTACTTTTCAATAATCATCTTATAAAATACATGTATCCTAGTTTATGATTGGTGAATGCAAATATTTTTCCCTATTACTAAAATATATCTTCAATTTGTAATCATAAAATTAGCAAAAACTTGATTATAAATTAATACAAGGATCAATATTGGTTTACCAATTTGGGTATTGAAATGATGGACTGCAGAGAGACTTTAAATACTATAAACTAATATATTAGTTATATTTTTCTATCAAAATATGTTTAACCAATAAGTTAATATTTAGAGATCATAATATATATAAAAATTTAAGTTATACATTTATAAAATAATAATTATTTTTGATAAAAAAATATTATTTAAAAAAATGTATTTATTCTAAGAATAATTTTATAATATCTACTTATTTTATAATTTAAAAATGAAGATAAATTATGATTTTAAATCAATAAAATACAAATAAATAATAATAATAATTTTTTTAATTATTATTTTGAGATAAAATAAATATTTTTTAATAATTTATATATATATTTAAAATACAAATTTTTTTAATTAATATATTTTTTAGTTAATTATTATAATATAAATGTATTAATATTTTTTTTTATTTAAATTAAAATTAATATATTGACTTAATATAAAATCATACTAAATAAAAGATTAAAATCTACTTAAAATATTTTTATTTTTCAATAATAATAAAATATTTATGTTATCAAATTTTAATCTATTATATTTAATTGAAGAATAAAATGGAGTGAGAGAAGAATAAAATAAAAAAAGAAAAAAAGAGTTAAGAAAAGGAAAAAAATATTTATATCGTATGAGATGAATTTATTTATTTTTATTGAATTTTATGTATGACCAATTGAAAAAATAAACTTAGATTCTATTTAAATAACTTTTTTAAATATATTATTATACATATTTTCTTACCAATTACAAAATTTTTATTTTAGGAGGATTTTACACTTAAAATAATTAGTTTTTTATCATATATATTTAACCATATTATAAAATATAGTTTTAGTTTTATATGTTTAAAAATAATTATTATCTATTAATGGACATCACTTAGATCATATAGTTTTTTTTAACTAGTAAATTAGTTGTATATTTCAGTATTAATTTTAATTTCCTTTCTCTCGTTAGGAATAACAATAATAGTTGATGAAATATTGTATACATTTTTTTTGGGTCCAGAAAAAAGGTAAAGAATATTGATTCGGTTTTGTAATACTGGGCCTAAAATACAGCACTTTTACAAGCAGAGTAAGCTGGTTGGGCCCCCATAAAGTGTTTCGTCAAAGAGAAAGAAGAAAAGAAAAGGAAGCCCTAGGCAATAAATAGAGAACGTATTCAAGCTGTTGCGAAAAGAAGGAAGAGGAAAAGAGGATTGGAGAGTGGCCACGTTTAGCAACAACCAAACCCTCTCTACTCTTTCTTCTTTTTCATCATCTTTTCTTGTCTAGGGTTTTAGCTTCTTCTCATTCTTCTTCCACTTTCCTTACGCCTCTGCAATGAGCAACGACAAGGACTCCTTCAACGTCGCCGATCTCACTTCTGGTACTCCATCCATTTCTCTTTTCCTATTTTATTTTTAATTTTACTTGTTTCATGCTTCACACGTTTGATATTTTATTGTTCTTATTTTCTCCCCGAAGTTCTCAACGAGGAGAATAGAGCAGACCTTGTCAATGCTCTTAAGGTCAGTACTATCCTTTTCTTACTATTATTATTTATTATTATCTGTGAAGCTGAGATTGAGAGTTGAATTTCTTGGGTTTTACATGTTAATCTGGCTATTTTATTTTTTTCTGAGTTTTTCTGATGTTTAATTTTGCGCAGAGCAAGATACAGAGTTTGGCTGGGCAGCACTCTGATATTCTTGAGTCGCTGTCACCCAATGTCAGGAAGCGTGTTGAGGTTCTTAGAGAGATCCAGGTACGATAGAATGCACCTGTGACCTAGGTTGCTTTGGATATCTTACTTATGTTGGTTAGATGTGAATTATAGTTGTTGTTTTAAATTGGTCGTGGTAGGTAGGTATGAAGTGTTCTTATTTCCTTGCACGAAAGCTTTTATGTTGATTGATGAGTTATGCATCGATATAATATCTCGGTGTTTTGGAGCTTCCACCATGTTGGTGTGTGCCTTTTTTTAATAGAATTTATTTTTTAACCTAATCTTGCAGGGTCAACACGATGAACTAGAGGCTAAATTTTTCGAGGAGAGAGCAGCTCTCGAGGCTAAATACCAAAAATTGTATCAACCACTGTACACGAAGGTGAAACTTATTAACGAGAGTTGCATTTAGCGTTTTACACTATCCCTGGACGTGTAGCATAAAAGGGTTTCACAATCTTCTACTTGTGCAATTGTCTTTTAATCAAATTTATGATTGAAAACCATGATTCTTAGCTCTAGGACTGTTGATGTAATAATTTAAATATTTATCTCTAGCCTTATCATGATTGATTGCAGCGGTATGACATAGTAAATGGTGTTACGGAAGTTGAAGGAGCTGCAATGAATGAAACAACACCCGATAGTGGGGAGGATGAAGGTAATGATACAAATACATGAATTTTACTTTTTAGCGGTTTTTCAATTCCTTAATATTTGATAGAATTATTTGCTTATGTAGAGAAAGGAGTGCCTGCGTTTTGGCTTACAGCAATGAAAAATAACGAAGTTTTAGCCGAGGAGGTTAGTTGATTGGATTCAACGGTGAACTTTTATAATGTACATTTTACGATGAATTTTCATGTTTAATAGTTTTGTCATTGTTCTGTTGTGAAAAAATAGATTTCAGAGCGTGATGAAGGTGCTCTCAAGTTTCTCAAAGATATCAAGTGGAGCAGGATAGAAAATCCTAAAGGATTCAAGCTTGAGTTTTTCTTTGATACCAATCCTTATTTTACCAATACTGTCTTGACAAAAACATATCATATGATTGATGAGGATGAACCCATACTGGAGAAGGCAATTGGGTAAACTTTATTTTATTTATTTTATAAATTATAAATATTACCCCACCGTCACCACACTTGTTCATCATTCATGTTAAATGTGGTTGGTATAATTTTGAATAATTTTGACTTGCTGATTTTTTTTTTTAAATTCTAGGACTGAAATTCAATGGCACCCAGGAAAATGCCTGACACAGAAGATTCTTAAGAAAAAGCCCAAGAAGGGTTCAAAGAATGCTAAACCAATTACCAAAACTGAAAGTTGTGAAAGTTTCTTCAATTTCTTCAATCCACCACAAGTTCCTGAAGATGATGAAGACATTGACGAAGATGCGGTACTGATATTGAATTAGATAACCACAGAAGTCGAATAAAAACTAGTTAATTTGAATTTTAATGATGTTGTTATGTACGGAACTTTATTTTTTGCTTTGATTAATGCATTCTTGTTAACAGGCTGAGGAGCTTCAGAATCAGATGGAACAAGACTATGATATTGGGTGAGCTTGATTACCTTTTACTTGTGTTAGTAGTTGCATGCAACAATATTCCAACACGTTACACATTTCTCACTTAAGTGTGATTGTTGTTGACTTTTGTTGCAAACTGTTCATCTTTTGGTATTTTGCAATCTTTTTTATCAAGACTATGACATCAATGACATCTTTTGGTGTTTTTGTAATCTTTAAAATTTTCTTGTCTTGAATCTTGTTGAATTGTTGTGCATCTTTAGGTCGACAATAAGAGACAAGATTATTCCCCATGCTGTGTCATGGTTTACTGGAGAGGCCATTCAGGGGGATGAGTTTGGTGAACTAGAGGAGGATGATGATGATGAAGATATAGAAGAGGATGATGATGAAGATGAGGATGATGATGAAGATGATGAGGATGATGAAGATGATGAGGAAGAAAGCAAGACTAAAAAGAAGGTATAATTTATAGTTTCTTCAAAATGCTAATTTTGGGTTTGTTGAGTTTGAATCTTACGAAATATTTATTTTTTATTTTTTTGGGATTGCTCCTTTGGTGTTAATTTATGTGTAATGGTTCTGCAGTCATCAGCACCTAAGGTACGAAATTTGTGATATAAGTTGAGATATGGATTTCTGTTTCCTTTGTTGCTTCTGAAACTTACATGCCTTAGTCTCATGTTTATTGTGTAACTCTTCAGAAGAGTGGAAGAGCACAGCTTGGTGAGGGTCAGCAGGGTGAGCGACCTCCAGAGTGCAAGCAGCAGTAGAAGTATATTTCTGTGGAGGGTTATTTACCAAGTTGAGTTTTGTTGGTGTTGGGAGAATGTCTGATGTGAAAGTGGGTTTCATGCTGTTTTAATGTTTCTTAATTGATTTTCCTCCTTAAATCTTGGTAGTCTGAATGTATTCAGAGTCCCTTCTCTTGTTTTGCGCCTGGTAGAGAGAATGTGGTTATATAGTTAGAGATGATGTGATTTGTGTATGTTTAATTTGTATTGCTGTCAACTATACTTGAAATATAGTTTGTGCTTCATTAGCTAGTAATTTTTTTAAAGGACTTGCCGGATCAACTCGCAAGTCTGTGCTTGGTTAACGTTATTCTAAGTAATTGAAGGTATTTATACTGAATGTTTCTTTGATTTAATAATATTGTTAACGCTATGAAACTTTTTGGTTGGAGGGAACGATTTTAACTGTGGGTACGAGGGGATGAAAGAAGGATTTTTATTTGGAGTGATTAGTTTTTGATGGAGGAAGATTTAGTTCTTATATGCTTCACGAGTGAGGTGAAAATCCTGAAAACTTATTTTATTTTTGTACCAAGTTTTATAAAGCTCAAGTAGATATACTCTTGAAATGTTCTAATTCTAAGTTTTCAGTAAAGTTTATCTAAGTTTTCATAATCTGGAAATAAATTGGACATTTTGTTCTATAAATTTAAATGAACTGTGGTATTCATACTGACTCTAATGCTTTTTATTATTATACTAATTCCGGTATTCTGCTTTGTAAGTCTTTTGTTTGGGCAAATGATTAAAGTATTTTTTTTCAATAACTGATAATTGAATCAAGTTTAAGCTCACTGGGAATAAAATGCCAAAATGTTTGTTACGGGCTGCTCTATTTTAATTCATGTTGGCTGACTTGTTCTGCACAATAATCATTTTTGTTATGAAAGGGAGTTTCATAGCAAAGATTTTGGATACGATATACATATTTGGAAAATGATGTTTTTTTATAAATAATAGTTAAAGGTGTAGCTAACATGCATATCAACATTTTAATGTACTTTTAATTATTTATTTAAAATTTGAAAATTTATTAAAAATTAAATATTATTAGTGAAATTAACTTATAACTGATCATTTTTGAAAGGAAAGGTAGGATTTTTCATAAAAACAGTGGGCGAAGGTGCATGGGTTGAGTATTCAGGGAGAGTTTAAAATGAATTTATTTAAATTTATAAAATTAATTTTACAGTAATCTACTTTAATATATATATATATATATATATATATATATATTATGTAAATTGTCAAATTATATTCAATTTACCATATTTCAGCAAGTGTAATGGTTAAATTTTAGTTAAACATTATGTAACAAGAATTTATTATGTATGCCTAATTAGGTTGTATCATGCAATGTCTTGGATCACTTGTCCAAGCCAAATAATTCTTTATAAAAGTATTGGGGTGAAATTCTTATTTTTGATTAGAAGTAAGAAGTAAAGCCTATTATAGAATGGTACTTCAAGATTTAAACGATTGATTGCTAACTTAAGAAGTGTTAGTTACAGTCTCAGTCTACTTTATTATTACCAATCAATGGATTTTTTTTTTCATTATATTTATTGAGGGAGGGTATAGGTGCATGGATTTTAGTCAGCTATTAACTTTTGAAAGCCCATTGACATGCATGAAATCGAAGGGCCCGGCCCGGCTCAGCCCCTTGCTGTGTTTTTTCTCGCCCTCTGCTCTGCCTCAACACTAACGACCCTCTCTCTCTCTCTCTCTCTCTCTCTCTCACTATGGTGGAATGGAGTGGAACAAAAAAGGGAGGGAAATCTAACAAAACAATGCGTAATAATAAAACCCTAAAAACAAACTAAGAAAACGTTAGTGTGTTGTGGCTCACTTGGAGTTTTTTATATACTTCCCATTCCATTTTCATTGGAGTTTTTTTCTTCCTTTGAACCTTCCAAAGTTCCTTCTATGGCGAGGCTGCTTCGTAACACTACCCTTCTGACACGCTCTCTATTCGTCCCTAAGGTTCGTTCGTATGAGCCCCTTTTTTTCTATGCTATCACATGGTTTTGTTTATGCACTTTGATAACTTTTTTTCGATATTTTTTGTTTTGGTAACGGAAACCATGGTACAGTGTTTTTTTTGGTCTCCAGATGACAGTGTTTTCTCTTTTCTTCTGTTTAATGCATTATTCTCGTTTTATGGATTCTGATCACCTTGTTTGTCACGTTTCTTTTTATTTAGTTATTTATATACTTTTAAAGTAATACGTGAATTTTTCATGGTAACCTAAGTCAGTGGAATATTTGCACCTCTAACAAAAGATAGGGAAAAGGAAAAAAGCCAATGACCGTTTTGTCTGTGATGGCCATGGATACGAGAAACCGTTTCCCTCGCTTTTTGCATCTTCTGCCAATGTTTCTGATGGATGCTTATTTTGCTGCATAATCAGTTCCTGCTTTCGTTTGCAGGGCTTTGAACTGGGACTATTTGGCAGTGCTCAGATTTTGAGCTTTTCATCTAAAGGTTTGTCGAAGTTCTCTTGCTTTCTTTCCTTCCCTTCATCTGAATCCAAAAGTTAATCATTTGTAGGAGTTAATTGATACTGAAATATTAAATGTCATTGCTTGTAGTGGTTGAACCAAGTCTTCATTGTTGGGGTAATCCCTTTTAAGGCTTATACTGTAAAGAAATTATAATAATCATGGTATGAGTTGGGCTTGGTTAGTCCAGTTAAGCTCATGGTGCTTTAGGTGAATCCTCACAATGATGCTGGATAGGGGAATTGTTTCGGTTCTTTATAATTTATACATCAAGTTTTTGTATTCTTGTGCTGAATCAAACCAAAACGAAAATTTATACCTGTTTGTTTCATGATTTTTATGTGTCTGAGTAAGCATGAATGATTTAAGAGTATCTGTTTTTTGTTTGTGCAATATTTATTTCATTTTCCCCCTATGTTACGCATCCTACTGTGACTAAGGTGCAAAATGCAAATGTACTATTGGATGGATGAGTAACTCGGATGAGTCCTGCTACTATTGAAAAGTACCAGGACAGGATGGGAAAATCAGCATGGAACAGCTGTGTAACCTTGTGGTTATGTGGCTAGATGGGAAGGTAATCAGGAAGGGGATTGATTAGATGGTTAAATAGAAAAAAAGGAGGATTAAAAAAGGGGACGAGAAGAGAGGTGAGGGAAAGATGCAAGTTTGGAAAGAGTGGGAGAGAACTAGAACTCCTGAATGGTGGCAGTATTTGTACTTATTTGGAGATTTCATGCCTATCTCTACCATTGATGTCATACTAATATAAGTTGCAGATTTATAGTAAATGATGTTGTCTTTCATCAGATCATTCTTCTCTAGTTTCCTATCATCTCTGATGTTTTGTTGAAGTTTGAAGTGATTTAACTTGACAACATTTTGATATCTGTATACCTTAAGGTAGAAGGCGCTCCAAATCTGATGGAAGTGACTCTGGTGAGGAAAACGTGTGTAAGAAAGAGTTGGCCCTTCAACAAGCACTTGATCAGATCACTTCTGCATTTGGAAAGGGATCCATCATGTGGCTTGGTCGTACTGTCGCACCAAAAAATGTACCTGTTGTGTCTACAGGTTCTTTTGCTCTTGATATAGCACTAGGAATTGGTGGTCTTCCAAAGGTATCCTTAGATCCTTGCATGAAAAGGTTTCTTTCTTGTTTTTTATATGTGAATAAACTGAACTTTTTTAATACAATAACTGCTGGATACTGATGACAAAGTTTTCTGTTTTCCCTGAATTGGTGTCCATAGGGACGGGTTGTGGAAATATATGGTCCAGAGGCTTCTGGAAAAACGACTCTTGCTTTACATGTGATTGCAGAGGCACAGAAGCAAGGAGGTTATCTTCATATAATACTTCTACAATGATTCTTAATGTCTATTTCTTTTGGTTGTAATGGATTTAAAATTCTAACTTTGTGAATGTGGCCATTACCTCATCATAATTATGATTGCCACAGACTCAGATGATTAATCTCCCTGCCCCTGATCTTAATGTTTGACAGTGGTAATACTGCGTTTTTTTCCTTGTGATTTCTCAAAGAATGTCTAACTTAGTTTCTTAGAATTCCCTTTTTGACTAATCTTTTTGGAAATGGTAATTGGATATTTGACTCTATACATGGTTTCTGATTGTCTAAAATCCCTGCTTCAATAGCAATATTGTGCCGACAACTTTATGGTGCTAGGCTGCTAGTGGTAGCAGTTTCCCAGTTGTAAATCTAATTTGGTTTATCACTGTCTAAATTTGGTACTTGTAGTTTCCCTGTGTCAAATGTGTTCTTCCATTTTGTTAGTTTAATTTTAATTATAATAAATTAAATAACGAAGATGAGGAGTCTTACACACACACACACACTTTTTAATTATGTGATTTACTTGTTTAGAGTTTTATATTTGGTTTATGCAGACATTTATATGGTTGTTTCCTACAGGTTATTGTGTCTTTGTTGATGCTGAGCATGCCCTTGATAAGACACTTGCAGAGTCTATTGGTGTGAATACGGCGAACTTGCTTCTCTCCCAACCAGATTGTGGTGAACAAGCACTTAGTCTTGTGGATACCTTAATCCGAAGTGGTTCAGTTGATGTTATTGTTGTTGACAGTGTAAGTGTGAATCACTTTCTATTTTGTTTCTGTCCTTACTTTCCCTGTTTATATTGTGCCTTGTTTAGGATTATATGGTAAGTGGTAATTCTACTAATATCTTCATCTGTTATTAGATTCATTAAACCAGTGTATCAAGTGGCATACTTTCACCACCATCTAAGAACTTACTGTAGGAAAGTGAGTTTAGCCTATCGCCCTTGAATTAGACCTAGTTATTGTAAACTATTCATCCTATAAAAGTTATTTTTTGATGTAAGTATTATATTTTTTGTGTGTAGGAAGATCCGTATATATAAAACTAGTTGTTATTGATGCTTATTACCTGGAGATATTTCCGGCTTCCTTTATTATATAGAAATCAGTGGGCTTGATTATAGTATAAGCTCAGGGGAAGATGAGATATTTGATGTGGAGGCTAGAATTGTGATGGAATGGCTGCATTTTTTAGCATTGACTCAGTCAAATTTTAGATGCTCTTAAAATAAAATTATTACTTTTAATATTTTGGATTTTTTCCTTATAAACACTCATTTGTAAACTTGTTGAGTTTGATTTCACAATGTAAAGAATGAGAGGAATTTTAGTGTTCCTTTTTTAACTTTCTTTGTATTTCCCTCTTTTTGTTTAGTTATTTCTTCCATATGGTTTATTTTATACTATGTCATTGAAAACTTGTTTCATTAGTTTAATGTACGTGCTGTGTCAACTAACTTTTTGCAGTTTTTTCCTGATAAGGTGGCTGCGCTTGTTCCTAAAGGTGAGCTTGATGGTGAAATGGGCGATGCTCACATGGCAATGCAGGCTAGGTTGATGAGTCAGGCACTTCGAAAATTGAGCCATGCGTTATCACTTTCTCAAAGTATATTAATTTTTATAAACCAGGTATCAACTAAATTATTATCAACTATGTTGTCAATTTTTTTTTATTGGCAAACAAGAGTTTTCATCAAGAAAGGTAACAATGATACCATAAAACATGGATAACAAAGTCTATAACTTGGTTTGTAAAACTCCTCATCACAAAACCTCTCGCTATGTTTGCCACATCACCGCGTCTCAGTTGTGTCACAATATTTGTCGCGTTTCAGTCTTGTATTTTAATCGCATCACAACGTTTGTCGTGCTATCGTGTCACACTGTTTTAATGTTTCAATCGCATTGTAGCGTTTGCTGTGCCACCGTATTCGCAGCACCACTGCATTCGTCGTGCTATCACGCCACCATACTTACGTTGCACCATAGTGTTTGCTGCGTTTTAGGCCATTGCACCATTGTGTTTCAGTCTCGCATTTCATTTGTGCTTATTAGAAAAAAAAACATGGGTTAGTGAGCTAGTCCACCTAACCCACCAACCCGTAGTGGGTTGAGCTAGGTTGTTAAATTTTTGGTTTGCCATAAAGTGAGTCGGGTTGAACTCACCTATTTTTAGCTCAACTTGTGGTGAGTCAACCTGACACCAAACCGTGTGAGCCGGGTTGGCTTACTTTGACACCCTTACATAAAACTTAGTTACTTGTATATCAAACACCCTATTTTTGTGGAATCAACAAGCACAACTACCTTATATCTAAGGTTATTAGACTCTCAAGAGTTATATAAACTCGTAAGAGGTGTGTAGACTCGACTCGTGAACTTGACTTGCATATTCGTAAAAGTCTATTTTATGTGATAAATATCCATTTAACAAAAAATATAAACATGATAATATCAATTTCATAATACTAAAAATATAAATATGGTAATATCAATTCTAAGAAAATATATGCATAATAATATCAATTCCAAACATTAAATTTTAGTGTTTATATCTAAAATAACCAAGAAAAAAATATAGAAGTTTAAATCAACAAAAAAAAGGTTAAATAAAATAAAATAAAATCTAGGACTAGGGACAAAAAAAAAAGAAAAACGAGACTAGGATAAATAGTGAAATATGCTAATCCAAAACAAAATAAATTGAAAAAAATTGAACAGGAATAAGGCCAATGAAGGGAACAGGAATTGAAACATAAAGGAAAGGGAACGAAAGGTGAAAAACTTAGTTGCAATGACTTGCAAAACTGTGAATGGAGGAGAATGACGACTACGAATGGTGGTGAACGCGTGGCGATTGCAAATAGTAGTGAAAGCGTGAACTGTGAATGGGGTGGCAGCTTCGACCTCGAACGTGAATTTTGAACAGGGTGGCAACTGTGAACATGGATTGTGAATGAGTGGTGGTTGGGAACAAAGTTGTTTGGTCCAGAACTGCGGCGAAGGGTGGCTTCGTGCAAACTAGACTGAACAACCTACGTAAGTGTTGTTTTGGGTGTTTCATCTCACTTATTCACTCGCCTCAAATTTGAATCTGCTCCGAGTTTGCCCAAAAAACAAGTTTACTTATGAGCCAACTTGTGACATTAAAGGAAACTCTTAAACTCATAAAGTTTACGAGTTAACCTAGAGTTTGATAATCGTGGTTATAACATAAAAGATAGAAACAAGTTTAATAACCACCGTACAAACATTCCATGTCACCCTACCTCCACTAGTCAATAACAGTAGCTATCATAATTATTGAACCTCCTTAGATTGCACATAGTCATTCACTTACCATGTTGAAAAAGAATATGAAAATTCCTTTATGAATCCTTTAATCCATGTCCAAGAATGAATAGTAAATTCCTGTCACGATCATGTCTCTTTGAGCTTGATACCCCTGGAATATACACAAATTTGTTGCCCCCCCCCCCCAACTTGAGCAAGTTAGTATATATGTATGTATGTATGAGACTTCTGTTTGGGTTAGTCTGTCGTTTGCTAATTTGATTCTTGGTGTATGACTTTATTTTCTTGACTTATGCTGAGCATTGTTTCACAATCATACATCATATATTCTATTTTTTTTTTCACTTTATTAAACTTTTCTCTGTCTCTGACTTTGTTCTGCAGCTGCCCTCTGTTTAGTGTAATCTTTCAGAATCAATTCACGGACTTTCTTTTTTATGCATGTAAAGCTAGCATGCAAATTTTGGGGTATAAATTCATGTGTGAATCTTAAATACCAAAAGCTATTAATTGCTGGAACTTCATCAGTCTATTTTTTTCAGATTACAAAGAAAATAATTATGAATAGAGATGTGCTAGCAGCATACCCACTTCTATTAATTGAAATTTGTTAGAAATCACAAAAGTGTGTGGGTCTCCTCCATCCTTAATTTGACGAATTTAATCATCTTTTTTCGTTTTTAATAATTTTTTACAACAGGAAAGTATGTTATAGTGTAGTGTATGTTACTAGCACTCCTCTTACAAATATTAAGGAGCAGCATAGTCGGGGTTCGTTACTGGGGTAAATATCAGAGCCATAAGCTTTAAACTGAGAAGATTGAAGGTCTGTTTGGATATAAAATAGAAGAGCTTCTGTATGGAAATATAGTTTTTTTTTTTTCAGTAGAGAAACCTACCCTCAAAAGCTTATCTAGCTTTCTTTCCAAACAGATTGAATGGAATATGTTGATGTTCGTTCTTTTGCTTTCCAAGTAATCGGAATTGATTGAAAATACTAATTATGTACAGACCATGCATCCTTCAGCCAAGCACCAAGAAACCTATTTTGTAAAGAAAAATGTTTCATTTCATGTACACCCAAACTACTCCACTACACCTAGATAGAGAAAAAAATAAAAGGAGAAAATAATAGGTTTATTGGAGACATGATGTGATAAGTAAGTAGAGAGAGATGGAAACAACAAAGAGGTGTTTATTAAAATGGGAAGTATGTGTATCATCACTCGCTGGTATATTGGTGAGTGGAGCATGCTCTGCCAGGCCTAGATGTGATGTGTTTTTTATAGTCTTTTTATTCTAAGAAATATTAAATGATTTGGATGGTATATTCTTTTACTGTCTGTATATTCTTTAAGAATATTATCTTCTGTGTGTGTATAATTTATTTTCTTTTGGATGATAGTGGAAGTACTTTTGTTCAAATTACTTTGGGGATGTGTTTGTCTTTTAGTAACAGGAATTCTATTGTATGTTCATCCAGGTGAGGTCAAAGATTTCAACTTTTGGGGGATTTAGTGGGCCTACGGAAGTTACTTGTGGTGGTAATGCATTGAAATTCTATGCTTCTGTGCGTCTAAATATCAAGAGAATAGGGTTTGTCAAGAAGGGTGAAGAGGTAATCATATATTAATTATTTTTCTGGCATCCCTGTTCAAGTGATTGTTTCTAAAAATAAAATCTGGTTCAGTTTGACGGAATCAACATTGATCTGTTGAAATAGGCTTTCTCTTTAAATCTATGTTCCAAGTTACTTCATTTCTTGATATGCTTTGGACATGAGTGGTTTGGATGTAAAGCTTTTGAACTCTGTGAACTTATTGCAATCTAGATAAATAGCATCTCTGATCCATGTCCTATAAAACAGGAGAATAATAATTAAGTGAAGTTGCTTGTTTATTTATGGCTAATAATCAATGTCTTCCTCATCCTGCAGCGAAGTAGCTGTTGGTGTTTAGTATGGATTATAAGTTTAAAAAGAAAAAGAGAAATGCTCTAGCACACTCTATTATTAATTAGAAGTAGATTGGAAATCACATAATTTTATGAGACTGACTTCATAGTTAGTGAATTCGACTCATGATTTTGTAGTTTCCAATAATTTTTAATCAATAGTTAAGAGTTTGTTAGAAAAGGAACATGTTAGAATATATTATAAAGGACATGATTCACATACACCCAAATGACACTAATTTCTATCAATATTTTTATTCTAAAATCAAATATATTTTTTGACAATATAATACTTTTATAAAAAAAGTGGGTGTTGTAAGGGTGTAGATTAAAATGAAGGTGAATGTTTAACGTTTTCCTATTATAAAAAAATGTATCAGAGAATGTGTTGCTAGCACTCATTATTAATTCGAGGCCAAGCTTGTAAGTTTTTGAAGGCATTTATCATCATCATCATCAATTCAGTTCGTTTGGCAGGCAGTACATTGTACCTTCCTTTGAATGGTGAATATCTATTAGTAGTTAAAACCATTTTCTTGTTTATTCAGTGGAATATAGATCTAATGATGTCCTGTATAGAAGCTAGACCTTTTCATTTTCTATTTCGGATACAACTTTTTTCTTGCATTTAATCTACGGTACATTATCTGTTTGTGCATTATTTTGGGATCTTAATATTGCATTGATTTCATTAGGTTTAATTTCTGGTATGAATATTTATCCTATAAGGCTTTTTTTGTACAGATTTTAGGAAGCCAGGTTCTTGTCAAGGTTGTGAAGAACAAGCTAGCCCCTCCATTTAAAACTGCTGAGTTTGAGCTTCAATTTGGTAAGGGGATATGTAAAGAAACAGAGATTATAGATTTAAGTGTAAAGCACAAACTCATCTTAAAGGCTGGTGCAATGTATTACTATAACGAACATAATTTCCGCGGTAAGGATGCGCTAAAGAGTTTCCTAGCTGAGAATCATAGTGCAATAGAAGAACTTGAAACGAAGCTCAGAGAGAAGGTTCTTAATGTTGAGACAGAACATACACAAGAATCAGATGTTATTAAGGAAGATGTTACAGAAGAAATTGCAACAGTTAATTCTACTGACGAAGAAACAGCTATTATAGAAGCATGATTTTGTGTGTGAAAGTAAAGTACGGCTCACTCTATTTGACACTGATTTATACATGATGTAGCTTGGTGAATTGGTCCTAAAATGTTCACTCCGATGAAGAAGATGCTAAGAAGCCATGCATGACCCGAATGCTTATGCCTCTAGTTTGGAATCTTATTCATGCTTCTGGTCTTATGTTTGAAAGTTCAATTTGAAATTCATTGTACCCCATGTAAATTGAATTTTAAAGTCATTTTATATAGGCCTGCTTAGTCTTACGGCACATGTAAATTGAGAATGGAATGGCCTGACTGTAATCAAGGTCATTACTGAAGAGTTGAATCATCACCAACCAATTATTTGTAAGGATTTTACTGTGCAATATGGATAATGATACGATGTATATCTTTCTCACATGATATCCATCGTGTTTCTTCCCATCTTTACTCTCCGTCTATTACTGCTTGGGATCAGAATTTCAAACGCGGCAATGATAAAAACTGGGTCGGAATTATTTTTTGCGATTCTACGGATTGTCATTACAGTGACAGTATGAATTCAACAGCTTGAAATTTGTACAATGATTTTCTTATATCTTCTTTCAAAATAAAAATAAAAATTGGATATAACAAATTTCGTAATTATCTTTTGATAGCCCCCTTTCAAACAGAGGGCATCCACCTTTGAAAAGTCTATTTTTCTTGAAAATAACTATTTTTTGGTTGCTTGTTTGAATTACTTTAATATGTAAATAAAATTAAAAGTAAAAGATGTCATAATTTTGTTGGCAGTCCTCTAATGACGTGAACAAAATAAACAGTAAAAAAATATAAAATAGATTAACAATAATATAAATGACTGCGAACAAATTTTGAATGAAAAAGGAATTAAACATAACGATGATAAACTGTTTTATATGTTTTCATACTATTTAAATATATTATAATTTTTATTACGTATTTCCCAATAAACTTTGGTATTAAAATTATTCCATGAACGTTTTTATGTAGACTTAGTTTTTATTTTATAAAACAAAATAAGTTTGTTATTTTTTTACCTTTTCTATCTTAATCAATAAAATATAAAATTCTCTCTAATTATTAAAATGTCTTACTATTATGGATGCATAAATATAAGAAACCCAGAAAAAAAAAGTCGTCATACTTTCGAGTCTTGAAACCTTACTTTCAAAAGTTACTCCTGCCAAGTCTCATTTTCAAAAATCTGATTTTAGATTTTTATTTGCCTATAGCAATGCCATTGCTTTGATTATCTCTCTCATATTGGTAACGCGTGCAAAGGAACACTTTCTTTTTTCTTTAAATGTCCCTTGGTATTCTTGTGTAAAAAAGATGTTATAAACCTTCTAATTATGTTTGCTCCAAATGTTAGAATTTCTTTTGCGATTATTTTTCATAGAAAAAAAATCTATATTTTCAATAATTATTTTTTAAAACACTTTTTAAAACTTGTATTTCAACCTTTTATTTTTTATATATAGAGTGACATGCTATAAAATAAAATAACTCGTGTTTTATACTTTTAGTCATTCTTTGAATATTACAAATTTCTAGTAGTAACTTTTTTTAGAATAATCAAAATGAACTATTGCAACGAGGAATATTCTTCTAACAAAAATTAAAATTGGACTGTGATTTGAATCGAAGAATTGAAAAGCAGAAGAGATTCATAAGTTTGAATTAAAGAGAAGACACTTTTTTTTCTTACTACAAGTCAAGTAGTTATTGTATGCATGTAGATTTGACAAATATTATATAATTTCAATTTTTTATTTAATTAAAATTTTGGATATTGTAAAAAAATTGTGCATAATAATTGGTTAAAAATTAAATTTTGTTATATAATAAAAAGTACAATTGGATATCTATTAATAAACACTCTGCAATTTATTATTTATATATATAAAAATTCACACTCTTAAGTTCAATATTTCATTCTAAATTATTCTTTTAATATTGAAAGTTATAAGAGTTTTAAATAAATAATCAATTCTTGGATAAATTAATTAAGATCCTTGTACTAATCATATATATATATATATATATATATATATATATATATATATATATATATATATATCCTTAACTTTGTTTTCAAAGATTGATTTGACACAATTTAGGATACAAAAATTATTTTTTAATATCAATCTATCTTTAAAACTATGAAATTAGATTCATCTGGATTTAAGCAATAAAAATATAACCAAATAATAATTGGAGAATAAAATTTAAATATGTATAGATATAAGAGTTATAAAAGAGTTTACATATTACCTCTAAATCCAAACCAAAAAGTGGATTAGTTATATTTACAAAAATAAGTGTCATGAAAAAAATTTTTTTTTAGCTCTTATAAGTTTAACTTTAAATAAAAAATATATTCCTAGTTATACTTTTATTTTGTCCCTATAAAATGTTGACTTTAAGATATGTCCTAGATCAGATATGGCATGTTAATAGTAATAAAATTGTATTTATTATTATTTATTTAATTATCATATTTACATAATTTATAGGATGAGGTCCTTGATTAAAAATTAAAGACTTATTATTATAATATAGATTATAATAATAAAAAATAAGTTTTATATATAATTTTTATCTAAATTATTCTTGATTATAGAATTATTAAAAATATAACATCTTTAATCCGGATAAATTAATATGTGTAGTGGTCTTTATCGAATAAATATTAATAGATTTTATTTTTAAATTACACATATAAATTGTGTATATGAAGATATGACCATTGAATTGACTTAAAGAAAAATTTCTAATGTTTAATATTATCTTTGAAATGTCAATAGGAAATTCTTTTGAAGAAAACTATATAATTTCCTTAGACTTAAGATTATCATAGTAATTAATAAGTTATTTATTATATTTTGATATCGGATATTTAAAACTTTGTGATGTTAGTTGAATGATTATTAGATATAATTAAATTTTTGTAGGATTAATGATTAATCAAAAAAGAATCCACAACTCTTAGTAATGAGTTTGAGTTCTATAAAATCCTTGGCCAGGACATTATGAATGAAAGAAAAAAGAGTTTTTTTAGTCATTCCTCATGTTAACTTATTAGAATTTGACAATTATACCATATTTTAAAGTTAACATAAAAGCTAAAAAAATAGAAGAAAATATTATATAAATCTTTTAGTGATTCTAAAATAAAAAAAATATTTCATGCTATTCAATTATTAAAAAGTGTTGCTAGAAGCTAAACTTGATTAGTAAATTAATGAGTTAATTTAATATAATTTCACTTATAAGATCTTTAATATGATGTTACTGAAAATTTAAAAATAATAAAATAAAAGAAAGTCAAAGACACTTTGTGAGAGAGACACAGAACAATTTGCATGATGTTTTATTTAATAGGAAAATATAGTTCCTGTTAAATTGAATCCATCAACATGAATAAAGATTTCATATAATATAGGAAAGGTTTCCAATAAATAGTAAAATATTGGTGTGAGTAGATCTTTTTTTTTTTTTTTTAAGAAAAGCGCATTTAAAAAAATTAAAAAATTAATTAATTATAAATAGTTATTTATTGAATCAATGGATTAAAATATATTCTAGATCATAATTGTGGGGAGTACTGTTTTTTTTTTTTTTACCAACTTAAACTCCTGTTATTTTTCTTTTATACATAAGTTACTAATTCTTTATGTATCTTTGTGTTTCTAATCATAAGTCAATTACATATTATAGGTCCGCATATCAAGTATTGATACAGTAAAATTAATCTCGACGTGGATACGCGATATAACTTTTATATCCTTTAAAATGTTTTATTCTTTTTCTTGTTACCTAGTATGTATATGATTTAGTCATTAAAATTCTATTATTTCTGCTACACACTAAATTTAACCTTTCATGTATGTATAGAAAAAATCCCATAAAATCCAATAGAAAGATATCAAAGTTACAATTAGTAATGTGAGGAAGTTTCTCTAACGAAGTTTATACAGATACACATGAATTCAATACAGTAACAAAAGATTGAGTCTAAAACACGATAATTATTATTATAACTTCTAAAATTTATCGTATTATGATTAATATTCTCTTCAATTTAATTTAACATTATCACCTCTTCTCTCATGTCACAACATCATTGAATCAAAAGAATCTTTGCTAAAAAGAAAGACAAAGCATAGTATTATTTTATTACACATAGCGAATATAAAATTACTAAACTTGAATGTAATTTATTGTAAAAGTAAACTCATTAAAAAAAAAATCGTTACATATCCCATTAGCGTTTAGTTTTAGTCCTCTATTTTTAAACGAATCCTTAAAATTGTTGTGTCCATATTAAATTTTAGAAAAATATTAATGACAATTTCAAATACACTTTGTGATATTTGTTATTATTTTTATTGATTTCACTTTTCATAAATGAAAATATGGCTTGGTTTTAAAGTTTTAAAGTTTTAATAATTTTTTATTAATATTAAAATGTAAAGTATGTATTTAGAATTGATTTTAAAATAAATTTTTTTTTTACAATTTTTGTTCTAAAAACAGATGAACTATGCTTATAAATTTAAATGAAAAATTTACCCACAATTAATTTATTTTTAAGCTTAAAATTATTGAACATGAAATTATTATTATTATTATTTTACTTAATTTAACGTGATTTTCAATTATTCAACCTGAATTGGGATACTTGTTAACTTAAGGTCATAGCTAAGTGACCTCACTACCAGCTCCGTACACATTTTCCACAAAGAAAAATCGTTAACTTGCAATTTATAATTAAATTAAATCCTCTTACCAGTACCAACTACCAAACTAATAAAAATATTCATACGAATTTCATTACAAAATTACAAAATTCAATACATGAAAAAAAGCAAAACATTTGTTATCTTTAAACCAATATATTCTTAATTTCTCTCAACTCTAACCCAAACATATAACAAGTTAAATCATAATTTTTAGAATTTGTTTCAACGAACTTCCTTATAAATATTTATAAAAAATTTAAAATTAAATTTTCATAAATCACGAATAACTTTTGCACAATTTAATTTTTTTAAAAACTATTATTATTAAAACTTTTCATATTTTATAAAAAAATGTAATATATATATATATATATATATATATATATATATATATATATCCGAAGTTAACATGAAAAATGAGAAATTATGATAGTGTATATGAAAGGGTTATTGAATTTATTTTTTGATATTTTAAAATTTTTATCAAGAAATTGTTCTAAAGATAAGAAGTAATAAGCATGCATTGGTGTCCCATGCTAGATTGAAGATGAAGTGATGACGAAGACTTATAGTTGGAATTGGCGTTGTATTACGTCAAATACCACTCTTCTGATCGCTTCCTCGAACTCGCGTTTGTCCCATTCACTGCCCTGCAAACAAAGTTTAGAGACCAATCTGTTACCACTCGATTCTAAACATTTGAAGGAACAACGTTAATCCGAGGTCAAGTACTTTCGGTTTTACCGAAGCATATAAACTTTTATGCACATATATTACTAACCCTTTTTCCAAAAATAACCAATTACTATATTATATATATAATTATCAATTTCTAGAATGCAATCACAATATTAGTATTAGTATATAAAGTTTTTACACTGTATTAGTGAAGTTTAATTTCTATCTAATAAAAGTATATATACTATATAACACAGACAAATAAAATACTTAATCCCCGTTACTCTGACAAGTATACATTATAAAGTTAGACACACACAGATATTATAACAAAAAGCAAATGTTTTAACATGTTACATACCTCAATAATCCTCAGCCTGAAGGTTATTTCATTAATGGTTGCCCCTCCTTCTGTAACATGGTTGTTTGCGTTCGTAGAAATCAAGGTTACGTTCTGAACCCTTTCTAAGAATCTCAATACGGGAAGCAACAGATCAATTTGAGAACTTTGTCTTCTCACCGTCACTTGCAAGTCCACCATATGCTCTTTTGATGAACTTGATTCTGATGTATGCCGAACTCGAACGTCCAATCTTTCGTTAGAGGACCTACCTCTGTTTTCTTCACAACTACTACCTTCCTTGCCTGACAAATCTGTCATCGGCTGCTGTTTTCTCATGTTAAGTTTTTCAATTTCAGCCATTGCTGTTGAAAGGATTGTCTCTTTGTTTTTCTAAACCACCCAAGTTCAAACCTCTCAGATTTATTTCGAATTACAACAAAAAAAATTCATATTACTAATGGAAAAAATTTTAGGTTTTAAACTTGTTTTCATCTATCTATATATTCATTATGTAATTAAATACATCAAGTTTATATATAAAGGTTATCTGCAAAATATAATGCATGCTCTTAATTATTATTAATAGTATAATTAAAATTAGTTGTATAATGCATTATACTAGCATGGTTAATATATATAAGCTTAAAATAGATGCCTGAAACAAGAAATATCCCACGAGAGAGAAACCTAATTCCTAACTCTCTTAAAGATGACATTTTTGTAATCTATCCATAGCAATGCCCCCCAATAAATACGCGCTTAAAATTTTGATGCAAGTTTATTTGTATTTTTTGGTAAAACTCAATTCCTTAAATAATACCACTATATATCTTGTGAGATTGGTGTTTAATCCATGGTTCGGAATACTAAAAAAATATGTATTTTTTTTTGCTTTGCATGCATGAAATAGCTATAAACTTTGCATTGCTGAATTATATATAATATACCTTAGTTCCCGGAGGAAGAAGTGCTCTAAGTGCCTGAAAACTGTCGCTGAGTTTTTCACGCCTTCTTCTCTCTGATATCATATGAAAATGTTGCTGGGTACTAATTGGATGGGGAACTTGAATAGTATCGCGTTCTCTCATTCTCTTAGAATTTGAATTTTGAAAGAGTGCAAAAGATGTATTGTGCAGGCTTTGCCTGCGAAAATTGGACTCCGTATGGGGTTTTATACCAGGGTTTATCATATCTGGTCTATATCTCGTGAAAGCGGTAGTTTCAGGGTGTATTACTGAAGTATGAGGCAAAATTGGGTGGGGTTGATGCAGCTGCGAAGTTGAAGATATAACTTGGATTAATGTTCTTACTATTTCTTCATGTTCAGCATCTGGTGTGGATAAATTTAAATAGTTTGGTTGAGATAATGCGTGGATTGTTTGTTGGGGTGGACTAGGTTGTGGGGGAGCCACACCAAGGGCTTCAGGAAAGTTGGAGTGGGAAGTGCCGGAAATATTGAGTGAACATTGATTAGGGCTACCCGTAGATATTGATATGAAAGAAGATGATGATGATGATTGTGGATTCTGATCAATTGATTGGGAATGAGTATAGAAATCTTCTGGGAATAAATTCTTAAGTTCTGTATGAATGTCAGCCTGTATTATACAGAAGTTTGTTTATCAGATGCCAAATTGATCAAACAATTAATTAACCAACATGCATGCATCATGATAGTAGTTTTCTTACTTGAGACTTGTTCGAGAACCCAAGCTCTATTTCTCCCATTCTGCACCCCATGAAAACAGCAATCTGCGATAAAGAACAACTGTAATAAATATAGTTTTTTATTTTTTTCTGGTTCATTATGATTTAGGAAATTAATGACTACTGATTAAAGGTTTCAAGTTTTTTTCAACCATGAACCTACTACCTCAATCCTTGCTTCCTGTAAAAGCATATATAACAATCAGTTCCTTTATTATTTGCAAGGGAGAATATGCACTTAGAGGTTATAATAAATGATAGTGTTATCTTTTATAATTTAACAATAAATATTCACTTTTAATAAGTTAGACACTGATCATATTTCTTCTAAAGTTATTTACCTGAAAGAATTGTTTTTGTATTTCGGTGGATGTCAGGCTTAAAAGATCTAATAGTTGGAGCTCTATGTAGGGAATGTGGTTTCTGAAAGCGAGTCCAGGAACACAGCTAAAATAAAAAGAGAAGTAAAACGAATTATCAGAAAGAAAGATGAAGACGATGACGAAGTACAGCGATCTTAAATGCAAACGATGGAGTGATGTTAATATACGTAACAAAATCAGACAAGAGAGAAGTTAGTCTTACTTATCATTGACATCAAACGTTAAAGCCCGATATTGGTGAAAAAGGGTTTGAGACTGAGTCCTTAAAGAAGAGGTTGGTTGGTTGTGGGGTAGATGGTAGAAACCATCGAAGAAGAACAAACGACTGTAGAAAAGAAAAGAGAAATAAAATATAGTATGTAGTGATGATTTTTGTTAATTAATTAGCAATGAGAGAATCATACTTGGATAGATTGGAATCATACTGCCAGAGAGAAACGTAAGTGCAGCGAAAAGATTGGAGCAGAGAGCGGAGAAAATCAGCTCTCGGGGCAGGAGGAAGGGCGAAGAGAGCATCCATGAATATTGGTAATTAAGGGTTTTGCATGATCATGAATCAGATGAGCTGCTTCTTTTATCATCTTATATATATCTTGATTTGTCCGTGTGAAAATACACATCGAAGAGGAAAGGGCTTTGAAAAGTGGATGGTGTGGTGATGTTTATATTAAGAAAAGTCTAGACTAGAAGAAATCTATGTATGAAATCCAATGAAGAAAAAAAAAACGTGCGCTATGAATAATTGTCTCCTTGCTTAAGACAGCTTGGAGAATTGTCTGGTTGACATTTCAATTTAAATCAGAATAATTAAGGAAAAAAACTAGTTTTACTGTTCACACAAACAATCCATGTTTTATATAATAATAATAACTTTTTTATTTTTTATTTTCATTAAATCTTTTAATGATTATTATATTAATAAAAGTGAGTTATAGAGGAGGATGTTTACTTGTCAAATTATTAGGAAAAGCCAGTTGTAGAGAAAATATCACCACTAAATTAATGTAAACATGTACTATAATTTAATATTATTATATAAAAAAATGTACAAAATAAATTTATTTGAATATTCAGTAGTCAAAGAAATTCTCTTTTTGGGTTTTAAATATCTCCATGTTGGGAAGTGACCTAATTACAATACCTGGTTAAAAGATGTTGCTTAGTTTATAAAGCATTGATGATAAAAAATAATTAAGAATAAATATGGGGTAAATGAAAATATTAGAATAAGAGATAAATTAAGTAAAAGTAAAGATATTATAACTAGGATAAATTAGATGTAAAGGGATAATGACGTAAATAGTTAGTTCCAAGACATAAATAGATTCGGAACATTATAATATAAAATAAATTAGGTCTCAAGAGATAAAAAAATCAAAATATGATTACCCATTTGTAAGAGCTTATACATAAGCTAAATTTAGTTTATGGAAGAATTTAATCAATTTTACTTTTTTTTTCTGTTCTATAACTGTTTATGGAAAAGGTTTATTAAACAACTAGTTCCAATAGATAAAATATTAAAATAGAAAATAAGCAGACATCATGAGATAAATTAAAATATTAAACGTGAGATAAAGAGATTATAATATAATATAAATGGAAAATATTAGAATAATATAACATATAAATGGAATATAAGAGTTAGAATATGCAATAAATAAAAACATTAATCATTAGGAGGAAT